CTGTGTAACTTGTTTGTTACTCTGTTAATTGTAGTAATTGAGCACCTAGGTTTTTGCATATGATACAGTCTTATGTGTTCTTATTGCTGAGCTGTTAAGATAATTACTCCTCTTCCCAAGATGCTGTGTATTAAAGTCTCCACACATTTGGCAGTTAAGTATAATGTTTGAAAAAAAAAAAGAATGAAGTTTGATTCTAAGAAATTAATTTAGAAATTTTATCTGAAAGGGTGATGTATATGTGAGATTTCAAGATCTATTAGTAATGGAAACATCAGCGCACATGGCACGTGATTGAAAGAAGCAACTGTAGCACCAACTAAAATTACAAATTGCCTTGTAGCAACGAAAGCTAATTCTGAATCTATGCCCAACAGCTGAGTATGGGAAATTCCACAATTTCAGTTTTTACAGTGATCTTCCTCTGGCTAAACTTATTGAAAATGAAAAGAAAAATCAAAGAATTATCTATCTTTTAGAACCCAACAAGGAAACATGATTAGATGTCAGTTGATGTGCAAGTTAATGAGGTAATTGTTGAATGATTTTAGATCAAGTCTGTATACTTGTATTTGTCAAAAGCAATAAACAATAGTAATCATCACTGGTCTGCATACATCACTGTTTTCTTTTGCATCTTTTGGCTGTTTTATAAACGGTACTACTCCATCTGTACTGTTGTAGCAGGGAGGACCAACTGTATGCCCGCAGCCACAGAGAAGTACAGTTACTGTATCTCCTGTCACATATGACTCCTGGTAAGTAGAGGCAGTCATCCTGTAACCAAGAAGTTAGGAATGCACTTTGCAGAAAAGCAAGCATACCCAACAGCTCAGATTTCCAACATCTTCCTCTGTGTGTAAGTTCTTCATGATTCAACCCCATTTTGTTGATATTTCTAAGGTTTAATGTATGTGGCAAATGAATATTCCATCTGTGATGGGTTAAGTGAATGTTTAGTGATCATTTGCTTAATTCTTTTAGCACTGTAGATGCTAGGGGACCAGGAGTGAACAAAATAGCTCAAATTACCCGCTCTCTTTCTGGAGCTCATTATGTTTAAATATGTTTTTTCCAATTTATTTTTATTTATTTTTTTATTTTTTGTGGTTACTGTTAACATTAAATATATCTTTGTATTCTTTTAAAATTCACTTTACATCCTTGTTGTAGCCCCTTCCCTTCCAGTCCCACCCTCCCTTTCTTCCCTTCCTCACTCCTGTCCCTTTTTCCTCAGAAAAGGGGAGCTCGCTCTCCCATCCACCCCAGCTCATCAAGTTGCCTGAGGACTGGGCCTGTCCTCTTCCCCTGTGGCCTGGCAAGGCCGTAACCTCTAGCAGAAAATGATCTAAAAGCTAGGAAGGGAGTCCATGTCTGAGGCAGTCGCCACTTCCCTTACTAGAGAACCCGCATGAAGCCTAAGCTGCCTATCTGCTACATCTTTGTAGGGGGTCTAGACCAGTTCCTGCATGGTCATTGGTTGATGCTTCAGTATCAGCAAATCCTTCGGGGCTCTGGTTAGTTGGCTCTGTTGGTCTTCTTATGGGGCTTTCTGTCACCTCTAGATACTATCACATCTGAAGAGCAAGAAAAATATTTTAAATCTGAGGTTATGAAAATGATAGAGACCTTAAAGGAGGAAAATAAAGCTCTCACAGTAGCACAGGAAAATACAATCAAACGGGTGAAAGAATTGAAAGAATCCCTTAAAGAAATTAAAGAAATACAGGAAACTACAATCAAACAGGAGAAGGAAATGAATAAAACTGTTCAAGACCTAAAACATGGAATTAGAAGCAATAAAGAAAACACAGTCTGAGATAATACTGGAGATGAAAAACCTAATGAAGAGGACAGGTACCCCAGACACAAGCTTCACAAACAGAATACAAGAGATGGAAGAGAGAATCTCAGGGGCAGAATTAAATCTGTTTTTAATCTGGGTTTTCTATTCATTTTTTTAATAACCAGTAGATATCATGGATGAAATGTATACAGAATCTGGTTTATATTTACTTTTCCAGGATAGGCTCATCTCTTTCTCTGTTGCAAGAGTAGAATTGAAACAATGTAATCCTGTCGTGAAAGGACATGGTGAGGGCTGATTTGCATGTTCATCAAGGTTAACCCCTCTTTTCTTTTCTCTAACCCAGCGGTTCTCAACCTTCCTAATGCTGCGACCCGTTAATACAGGTTCTCATGTTGTGGTGAACCCCAAACATAACATTCATTTTCATTGCTACCTCATAACTGTCATTTTGCTACTGTTACGAATTGTAATGTAAATATCTGGTATTTCCCGTGGTCTTCAGATACACCTGTGAAGAGATTGGTTGACCAGTCAAAGGGGTTGCGACCCACAGGTTGAGCACCCCTGTTCCAGCCTTTCATGGTCTCGTATTTTCTTAGCCCATACTCTGTAACAACCAGTCTCCTTAGCATATTTTGTGACAGTATTCTTCACTTGACTTAGCCTTGCGGTCACTTCCCCAGAGATGTTCAGAATGTGACAATGAAAAGCAAAGCAGCTGCGTGTAGTCTCATGTTCTAGTTCTTCCTTCCTCAACAGAATCGTGGTCCCTTAAGTTTCCAGTATTCTTGCTTCTGACCACTGGGGCTGCTCTGTGATCAGGGAAATCCCAGCTTGTCATTACCTTGCACACAGAATAAGCAAGTGTCTCCAGGAAAGATGCGTCTAAGCATCCCACAGCTTTCTCCAATGAGCTGCCCGAGTTCTTCAATCTCCATTGTTACATTAACTCTGATGCATTTAGGCAGAATTTATAGGGCTTAATTTTCATTTTTACTTAGATTTGTTTTAGTTGTTTTACTTAGATTTATTTAGTTGTTCAGTTGAAAGGATGTTAAAGCTATGCACCGAAACAAAATATGCATTCATATACACATACACACACACACATACACACTCACAAAATGTACCCTGACATTTTCATCATGCCTTAAGGATTTTTATTCATTGAAAAAAATGGACAGGGAGTAAGATGTCATTGAACTTATTCATTCAAATAATGAAAATGCTGAACAATTGACAAAGCTGATACTCCACAGGGCATGGATTTCACTGTCTCAGAGCTACGTAATGATGGTGGGGTGCTGAACTGGGTAACCTGGGAGCTTTAAGATGGAGGCAGGGGTTGGTGAGCCTGAAACAGAAGGTGTTCAGGACGTGGTGGTCGCTCTGAGTACTGGCTAATGTTACTGGTGGATTCCTACTCTGATTCAACTTCATCGTCAATTAAAGCACAAAGTAGATTTTCTTCGCGTCTTTACATCTCCACTGATACTTGCAGGAGGCAGGCGTTGCACATGGATAAGAGCGTATATGGAAGAGACAGGAATATTTAAATTCTAGCCCTACTCCTTTGTGAAGTGCTTACTTAGAACAAGTTGAAGAACTCTCGATGTTGATTTCGCATCTGTAACATACAAACAGTAAAACACGTCACTATATGTAGGGGAAATCTGATGGGCACATTGCCCTTAAACTACACACTGTGAACCTAAATTTCTTGCAGTTACCTCTGTGCACCTAATATGGACATCCAATGAGCAACTACAGGTTTTTCATGACAGCTTAACCCATTGCCTAGACTAGTGGTCTTAATGTGTTGGTTGTGACGGGGGTCACATATAAGATACCCTGCATAATAGATATTTACACTGTGATTCATAACAGTAGCAAAATTACAGTCATGAAGTAGCAATGAAAGTAATTTTATGGTTGGGGGTCACCACAACATGAGGAACTGTGTTAAAGGGTCACAGCATTAGGAAGGTTGAGAAGCACTGACCTAGACCTTCCAAAAAAGATGAGAACGAAATTGATAGAGAAAGCATTATTTTAAAAGTATAAAATGTTTGTCTTCTAAAAGAAAACTTTTGGGTATCTTTTTAAAAATAATGAAACTATCTAAAGTAACTCCAGGAAGAAAATAACCAAATTAAAAATGGATTTCAGTTCAGCAACTTAAAAAAATCTACTTCAAATTTTTTAGTAGATAGTAAAAAACAAAACAAAACAAAACAAAAAAAACATGCTATTATCTACCTAAGACCATTCCGGGAAGAAGCAGGGTTTTTTTTTTTTGTTTTTTTTTTTTGTTTTTTTTTTTTTTAATCAATACTGCAAATTGTAAGAAAAGAAGCAAAATTAAAATTAAAATAGAGTGAAAAAAACCCTAGAGTTAAGAAAAAAGGGAGAAATTTGACTACCAACAATTATTTATTTATTCACATGATATTGATTATCCCAGTTTCTCTAGAGACATAATAAAATAATAATTAGTAAAAATTGTAACTGGAGAAAATAGAAAAGGAAGAGTACTGTGAAGACAACATGGTCTTCTTTCTGATGCCATGGTACCACCAGCAACTCTGCTTGAGTTGTGAAGAATATGAATTTATATTATTACAAGCCAGTAAGAATTAGCTATGTAAGCTATCATGATGCATTAAACATTGTTGTTGTTTCAGCAATAATTTAATATCTGAATCAAATTTTACCTTAGCTCACTGTGGAGACGTCTTTCTTAAAACCTGACGGTTTTCTGGTGTGACATTATCCTGGTATGGTGCACAGAGGCCCTGCCAAGCACCTGTCCAGTGATGCTAACTTGACAGAACACATCTTTCCTTTCAAGCTCCATGTCAGGAATTGTTTCACTGTGCTCACACTTGAGTGAACATGAAATGAGGCCATTGCTGAGTATTGCTGTTCGGATGTTCAAAAGCTGCTATCGGTCTTGCAGCTCAAGGGTGAAAGGTACACAGCCATGTCTAAATTCCCAATCAGTATTCAGATCTGACTGAAAGTGACCCAAACACCCTCTACACTTTCCCTTCCCTTTGCAGGTGTGTAAACAAATGTGGGATGATAGCTAGGAAACTCTCTAAGAGGGGAGAGAGCATATGGGTAAATAGTGACGCTCTGACTGGACAGTTCTCTGAGTCTGGGCAATGTCTTGTGTTTGTTTCCGCAGAGCATATCTCATTACGGACTATATGGGCATCCGCAATGAAAGTTTCATGAAACTAGCCGCTGTAGGGACCTGGATGGGGGACTTTGTCACGGCCTGGATGGTAAGAAAACTTCAGCTTCTCTCAGTCAGAACAAATGTCAGATGGAAAGCATGTTCCTACTGTTGGAATGATGTAGGAAAATAATTACTAAATGTTTTAAGAGCACACATCTGTAAGTATATACCAATGTTTAAAAAAGCTTATTTTTGTATAGAATGGATTTTGTAAGCATAAATTAGTCTAGAGGTTATATTCAATATCTGTAGCCCTGAGAAAACAATAAATGCAATCATAATTGCATAATTGATTATCATAATTGATGTTCTCCTCTAGGAGATTATGTATACACACACACACAGGTGTATATCTGAGAATATAAACATCTATATGCTTCTTAAAGGAAAAGAACTCCACGTGAAATTCTAAATAATCTTTTTGGGAACCGTTGTTTTGATGTGCACAGTTGTCAGGTAAGGAATGAAATCCGTTTTTTCTCAGAAGGCCATCTGAAACATTCTTTGGGTGGTCTGTAAATTTTTAAATTTAACTTTATCTTTTGATAATTTCATGTAAGAGCACTCTGTGTCTGCATCAGATGTGCTTGTCCTCTCCCCACTCTGATATCTCCCATGTCTCTGCTCCTAGTCTCCTCTTGAATGGGTGACTTCTAGATTTATTTCCCTTATATATACACATGTACACAGCCGACTGTTACCCACAACAGTGGGTCTAGAGATGACCACTTTGGCCTGGGCACCCTATGAAGGGCTCTGTGTCAGAGGAGATAGTGTTCCTCAAGCGGACATCTAAGGCTTTCTTTTGACCTTCATTTGTGTGTGTGCACACATGGAGCTGTGACACCCATCGCTCCCATTTAAAACAGGGTTTACTTTTGATGACTTAAAATAGTGATCAGAACGTGCTACTCATGAAGTCTAGGCTACATCCTATTCAAATTCTATTCAGAAGAAGCTACACACACACTGGAAAATAACGTACTTGAAATTTGGTATGATATCTTTGAGAAAAATTCTACATTAATTGTGATTGTGATTTTACCTTGATTTTGTGAAATAAAATGGAACTGAGGACCTGATCACTGTTTTAGAAACAAGGACTCTTTAACCTTGACACTCATGCTTTGACCTTCATGAAATAAGATGCAATGCGAAGAGGCCCAATTTGCACATTTTTTTTTTTTTAATATGAAATGTGTGGCCCTAGAGAAGACTTAGCATGCAGCCTGTGGCAGATGTAAGAGCTTGCTGTTGGACTGTTTGTCTGGGCCAGGCCCATCGAGTGACTGTGGGGCAGGTCATCGATCCAAACCTCATGCTGCCTGGACTTCCTGGCCCTCAGTACATCTCACCATATCCCAGGCCTGGGAACAGATTGTCTGGAGTTGCCCTTGCGTTGTCTGTGAACAGGCTGGCAGGCAGTGTGGCCCAGTACCTCCTGGTTTTGCTCTTGACAAAAGTCATGGGAGAAGCAACAGGATAAAACACTTACAAAAATTGTTCTGTAGTTTGAAAGCTGATGCCCCATTTGACATATAAGCCTTTTGCTGTCTTCATGTTTGTTTATGACCTGTTTGTACCCAATTCCCAAACATTTCCTCACCGTGGCACTCCTATGCCCTCTAGAGCTCTGCCTACACATTTTTTAAAATTTTAATCTGAATACCCAAGTCTGCTTCTTTAGGCTCTTTCAAAGGAATGTGTATAGCTTCAGCCTTCAGTTCCTTTTAGCTGTACTTCCTGTCGTATGTATGTCTGGCTTCTTACATGTGGGGGTAAAGGGAACACAAAGAACCTTGTTGAGCCCATGATGCTGTCTTTTTCTCAAGCTCTAAGTCAGCTGCACAGGTCAGTGTCTGCTTCTTTAATGCCTCCTGTTTCGACTTGCTAACCCCGTTCTTTCTTTCCCATATCGCTGCTTTATTAGAAAGCTAGAGAAGGATTGAAAATGAAGAGAAGTGTGTTTTCGGCTTAGCCCCCCAATGTGGAGTTGAATCCCATGGGCCCTTCCTTTCTTCTTTTCTGTAAACTAGGGCAGAGCCCAAGGTCTCTTTCTGCTTATACTCTATGAAATGTTGACCTTTTCCCACTAGACTCAGGGAGAAATGGCAAAGTAAATGCAAGTAGCTCTGCAAGCTCAGCCACACAGGGAGGCTTCCCAGAACATCCTTGCTATTCCCACTTCTATTCATTGACAGGGCGGTAACTTTCCAATAAATATTTATATGCCTACATGTGTGTGCATTGATAACACTTTAAAAATAATATTTTTCCTCATGAGAGGAATCTCAGGTAGCTCTGACCTTCATGTGCATAGAATTCTCAGTTTGGAATGAATATCAATGATGAAGGTGACCTTCAGGGAGAAGCAAGCAGCTTTTTACATTAACAGTTATAGATTAACTCTTAATGCGTTTTTGCAGTGAAGGACTTTTCTTTTCTAGAAATAATTCTAAACTGTTCCATGCTTTATAAAGGCTATCAGGACTGATGTGATCCAAAGACAAGAGTGATCCCAAACATTCTGCACAACAGGCCTGGCCCTCACCAGACAGTGTCCAGCCGCGTCCTGGCTTTGCATGGATCCTGGGTGTTTGACAAGTGCATTCAAAGCTCGATCAAGCTTACCATTTTTTGTTAATTGTTAAATTTTTTTTTAATAAAAGAGATGCATTAAAGTGATGAGCATTGTAATTCAGCACTGGGCTGCACTGTTGCTATTTCTGGGAGCAAAGAAGAATTTTGTCTTGAAGGTGTATGTGAAAGCTGAAACGCTGGCCACCTTGAACCACAGTTTCCTCATGTCTCCTGCTCTGTGTCATTCAGTGATCCAACTCATGGCTGCAGCTTTTCCATGTCCTGTTCAGCCTCCCCTGAGGTCAAAGGTGTCTGGGGTTCTGTGGACAGCATCATGAGGCTATTGCTTTTTATTTCCTACCAGAGGAAGGAGGCTCTGGCTGTCTTTAGCTAACCATTTCTTTTCCCCGATCGATCTCTGCTATATCTTCTTCCCCTTGCTCTTCTCTTCTAGCAGTAAGTAGAATGATCCATGGCAGTGAGAGAGTTGAGGCTTTTGTGAAGTTATGTCATAGATACATTAAAATAATTTGGTCATCTACATTAGGGTTTCTGTTGCTGTGAAGAGACACCATGACCATGGCAGCTCTTACAAAGGAAAATATTTAACTGGGGCTGGCTTACAGGTCATAGGTTTCCATGGTGGTGTGCAGGCAGACATGGTGCTGGAGAGGTAGCTGAGAGTTCTAGCGCTGGATCAGCAGGCAACAGGAAGAGAGTGAGACACGGAACCTGGATAAGCATCTGAGACCTCCAAGCCCACCCAAAGTGGGCTTTCTCCATCAAAACCACACCTACTTCTCCAAAGCCACACCTCTAAATAGTGCCCCTCCACACGAGCCTGTGGGGCCAGTTGTATTTAAACCACCACATCATCTATCTATACCTATATTTCTGATGCTTATTGCACCACCTTGTACAACGTTGTGTTTGGTGTTAACACTATGCTTTCTTGAAAGCTCTTTGGAGTCAGAGATTCTTACTCAATATCTACATGTAGAAATGCCCCCAGGGGAGTAAAATGTAGCCTCTGTAGTTGGACTATTTCAGGAAACAAAAGTTTTAAATTTCCTTAATGACACCTGATGCTGCTTGAGCAAGTATAAGATTTTAGGGGGAAAAAGTGGGCTTAGTCCTTTACCATCATGTGATAATTTCGTACATGTACATGGTACGTTTTGAACAGTCAACCTCCTCCTTGCATTTCTCCCCCAACACTTGTTTCTTCAAACTTCATGTTTTGTTTTGTTTTTTTTTAACACATTGAGTCCACTAGGCATCCCCGAGGAAATCTGACTCTCTCTCCCCAGCAGCCACCATTGGTAATGCCTCCTTGACTTGGGATGGATTCATGACTCCCTCCTGCATCCGTGCTGGGAATTTTGGTCAGCTGGATTCTGTGCAGGCCTGTGCACAAGCTGTTACAGCCACTGCGGGTTCATATGTGCAGCAGTGCTGTCATGTGCGTCCAGCTCTCTTGTCTTCAGCCATCTGTTATCTTAAGGTCTTAGGATCTTCCTGCCCTCCTTGCCACTGTGATCCCCAAGCCTTTCGGGGTGGCAGGGTATGACATAACTGTCCTTTTCAGAGCTGAATGCTCTACAGTCCTTTATTGTCTGCACATTACCTGTGTTCATCACCATCTGCTGCAGAAAGAAGCTACTCTGCTTAGGTGGAGAGGCAAAAACTTAGGGGGGCACTTTAGCCCTCCATTTCTCTAGTGGAATGATTCTATTACAGTCTTCCCTTGGGCCTGTGACCTAGCCAACCACAGGGTTTTGGCCCATTTAGTGGGATCAGGCATGAGTTCAGTGTTATGGAGTGGGCCTTTAATCTAGTCAGAAAGTAGCTGGGTTCTTTTTCATGGCACCTCCTAGGTGGTTAGCCATGTCATGATGAAGCTGAATATTTCCTTCCCAGCCACTGGCTGCCGGAAACTGATGGAAGTGAGTGATGAATGCAAACTCCATCCTTTCTGTGAGAAGCACATGTACACAGAAGTAGCTGCTGATGTTCTGTGTGAAGAGCAGAAGGGATATGTGGTCCAAATTAGCAGGGAGAATAATAAACTCAGGTCTTCTCAGGAAGCAGGGTGGCTTGAGCCACAGAACCTGCTGTCAAGTAAGGGCCACTTTTGTTATAGACCATGGAGAACTGGAGAGAGGGAGTACCGGCCTGCTCTGGGATACACTGACTTTTCTCAAGTTGGCTATCACAAAAAATAAAAAACAACAAGCAAACAAACAAATAAATAAGTAAATAAATAAGGACAGGAGACCATCCCAGGGATGACAGATACTACTGTGCCTCAGCTGCTGAACCCTGAAAGAGCTGTTAGAATACAAAAGCTTTTCAAGCTCTCTAAAGAAGATAGTGTCTACCGATATGTTTCAGAAAGTTCTTCGGCACAGACGGTAAGAAGCCTAGGACCAAAGCACCCAAGTGTCAGCATCCCGTTACTCCACG